CGGAATCAGTAGAAATGACGAATGGTCGAAACCTGCATTCATTGCCCAATGACCAGCCACGCCGAGAAGTGCATCCAGATTTGCTTTGTGCTAACTTTCAAGTCAATCATCTTCAACTAAAAATCGACTGCTCGATTGACGAACGGAGCCTGTAGACACAGAGGGAGCGAGCGAGAGACGGAGAGAGACACAGCGAGTGAGACGTGTGCGATGGCAGTATCGACACAATATCTCACTGGGACTACTACACAAGCCGTCAGCACAAGAGCCTGCCACAACACATGTTATACTCGACAGCACGACACATCAATCGAACGATTGCTGAGTCTGCCGCTGGGCGTTTTGCCGCCGCAGCATCGACTCTGCTTTCCCGCGCGGATTTGGGGCCTGGTGTGGGTCACGATATTGAGCATGGAACATCGACACATGCTGCGGTGAAAGGACGGCCCAGAAACGGATGCTCTCTCAGCTTTCAGTACAAAGCCTTGGATTCCCCTTGTCAGAGATTTCATCTAAACCCAACCACCAAGTGACAGCCCACAGCTTGATCAGTAGGGAGGTGCGTTCCGCACCGAGGCCGCCGCCAAGGTTGCAAGCCTGGCCGTGACAAGTGCTGGCAGTCTCAGCAATTAGGATAGCAACTACAGCAGCTACGAAAATTAGGGTCAGCAACCAGGTGAGTGCAGGAGAATACTTACTCAGTTAACAAAACTCGCAAGATTCCTGTGCTGATGAACGAGACTCAGAGCATGGAAATACGGTACCCTGTCTTGGGAGGAAACAATTCCTCCGTTCCACACCAATTATCTAACGTGGGCGTCGAAAACAGATACCGCGCTTAGTTCAAGTCGGCTTCTGCCTCGGAGAAGCTTTCCGCAGTAACACTGTTCTTGCAAGCATTACGGCTGCTGGCGTCTTTCCATGAAAGTTGCAAGATGGACATAATCTGCGACTGCGACCACTATCATTGTATTTTTGGTGACATATCCACAGGGGCGACGACGGCGGCGACGACCTGCGACCTGTCGAGCCCTCTATCCAAGAGTTGATATCCGCAATCTGTTCACCCATCTGACCCGCGTGCCAAATCTATTGGCGATGACGAGTTTAGTTGGTTTAGTTCAGACGAAACAACAGGCTCACAACCGGATCTCAACGGCGAGAAGTTATTCAACTGCTTATAAGCTCTCATCCAGTGACCACGCATCCTGCAACCTGCGGCCTATCGAGCCCTGTCTTCACGATCTGCAACTTAGTACAAGTTGCCGACCCCTGCCAGTTGCTAGTCCGACTCACTATAGTCGCGAGGCACCGATTCACAATCATCAGATCGCGAGTGCGGGATCTAACCGTGATACAACGACAAACACAAACTATACCAAGAGGTGCATCGACGAGAAAAAAGATGTAGGCTTAGGGTTCATAGAGCTATGGCATGTAGAAAGGATCGGTACAAAGCGGACTCAAGACTTTAACCCAAAGCCTGATCAAGGAAGGCTGTATCATCCCCTTAACCCCAAAGTGCGGCAAACGAGGTAAATACTGCTGCTGCTGCTACTACTACTACTACTACTACTACCACTACTACTACTACTACTACTACTACTACTACTACTACTACTACTACTACTACTACTACTACTACTACTACTACTACTACTACTACTACTACTACTACTACTACTACTACTACTACTACTGGGACGACTACAACCGCGTTTTGCTTGTTCTAGTGCTAGCAGTGGACTACTGCCACTACTACGGCCAAGATCACCACCACCTCCGCCGCCGCCAGCCCCAGCACAACACCAAAGCCCAAAGGAGGCCTGAATCTCTTCAGGGTTGTGCAGTCGCACTACCTCCGAAAGGATGCCCCGCTGCTTTGACCTCGATTTCTGCAAGGAATCGAAGCGAGTCGGACTTCTTTGGATCCAGGTTTGGGAGGACTGGACATGTTTCAGGTTGACTTCGAGTTAGCAGGATGAACAGCTCCTCTGGCTGTTCATCCCTCTTGGTTTTGGAGCACATTACTTGCACTCAGGACACGGGTCATCGTACCAACCTGTCAGAAAGAATCACTCATAAATCCTATATTTCAAACTCCAGAACAGTTAACCATTCCGCTGACACCTTGACAGATGCAGAACGACTCCGCGCCACCATGGCCCGGACGGTGCGCGGGGCGTGAAGGGCCCACGCCTGAGCTCTTGATCTTTGGTCGGAGGCTGCAGCAGCCAAAGCTTTCCTGTATTTTACTAGTCAGTCCGAGCTCTGCTCGTACAAGACCAATAGCGTTGTCATCGCAGCATGTGACTTGGCAATCTTGTTCAAACCACAATCATGTGGATTAGTAACTACTAGTACAGCCTCCTACTACTAATCCTCTTGCTGCTGCTGCCGCCACACCGCGACACGGCCTCTGTGCTAATGCTTCTGCTACTACTGCTACTCTGCTACTGCTGCTACCACTACTACTACTGCTGCCGCTGCTACTGCTACTACTACTGCTGCTACTACTACGACTACTGCTGCTACTGCTACTGCTACTGCTACTGCTATTGCTACTGCTAACTACGACGACTACTCCTACTTCTACTCCCACTGCTACTGCTGCCGCTACTGCGATTGCCGCGCAGTCGCATGGTCGCGGGAGCCTTTGACAGAAACGCCTTCCGCGACTATCGAACACGTTTATGAAACGTTGCTACACTTTGAGCTCGCAAGGCTGTTGCCCTCGGGCTTATTATCGTGCCTTCACTCGTGCTATATGCCAGCTTGTCATTGCCTGCGCTCAACGTGATTGCCATGAAGAGCACAACAAAAAGGCCAAGGAGCGGTGAGGCTGTAGCGGGAGCCGCGCTGGCAGAGCTACCG